GCTGAACTGCTTATTCATAATGCTCTTTGAAGTGGTTATGAATTAAAAGCTTTAGAAGTAAAGGTTTTCTTTAAACTAAGCATCTTGCAAAAAGTTTTTTGACAGTCTCTGGTGCTAAAAAGCTGTTTGGCGTAAATGAGACATGTCCAGTTTCATGACTTCCCCAGCTCAGCTAACAGCAAAGGAAGAGGGCAGCTGAAAAGGTTTTCCATTTTTTCATACACAAAACCAGCAAACCAAATATTAGCTCAGATGATATGGATGCCATTATCAATTCTGCCAAGGTGAACAGCAAAAAGAACAACTTGTACTTATTGCAGCTTTGTTTGAATAGTCCTTTTTTTTTCAGTTTAGGACAGGAGAGAATAGATTTATCTTTGTATTGCAATTCCAGCATCAACTGTTACTCAATGGTACCCAGCTGTAAAGTAACCACACTCATGTACCCTACCCCAAATCACCAATAACATATTTGCAACTCCAAAATTCCAATTGAGTTGAAAGTTGCAATAACTTTCTAATAAAATATCACCAAATCATCAAAGGAAAATACTGCAGGGTTGTTTCTGTTATATATAATTCAGAGCAGTAACTTCCAGGGCAGAAGGGATCATTTCCTTTGCTCTACAGACTCCAAAAGTGTAATCTGAGTATGTATTAACATGTTACAATTAATGCAAAGTTCACAGGTAAATACATGTTTTATTGCTTCTACCATATTTAGGAAATAGCGTACAAAAAAGCAGGGGGAGAGGGGCAACCCAGCAATCTGGTAAGAATACAAATTATTCTCCAGGCCTGAAATACAAGTACCCAATGTCACAGATAAATACAACTCAATCTAATTAGACATGTATCAATCTAGTATGTAATTGAAGGAATGTTAATAGTGATGGAAGACAACAGTAAGATGCTGAGAAAGAGACAAACAGAATTTACGGCGTAGATCACGGCAAGGCCAAGATAATAGGAAGACTGCTCTGTTGTAAGACTGTCCTCTGCCAAGTTCCTATTTTTCAGTATGCAGTAGACTTAAAAATTTTGGTTCCCAGGCTCTTTACAACATGTTTTGTAGGATCAGGAAAGAGATGAGGGAATGAAGTGGCTGCTTTTTGTAACAAATGCTCTTGCAGTAGCAGCTGGATGTTTCTGTCCTTAATCAGCTACCTTGTTGAGTTCATTCTGTTGGTTCTTCAGTTAGATCCAGAGTAAATAGTTGTATGGTATGATGCAGGCAGCATACTTCAATTCTAATACAAAGTATAGCAGAGAGTGTATTTCATCCACATTGCATTTCAGTTACTCACTGTAATAAAACTAGATTAACGGCTATCATAGAAACTATACATGATAAATATTTTCATGAAAAGTACATAAAATCTCTAAAATATATGCCCACAAAACCTACATCTTTGACTTTGCATAATAGCATAGTTTACAGTCAGAGATATTTTAAAGGCAAATCTTCTTTTTTTTTTTTTTTTTAAACTTTTTGGTAAACTTTCAACACACAATATTGATAGCTTTCTAGCGAATGCAAAAAATTGGATTCCATAAACTGAATTCCATCACTAATGTAACATTAAGGCAATCTGAAGGAAGCTGTAATATTAACTTTAGCATGCAAGTCTTCCATTGGGAATTCATGGAAAAAACAAAGTAAACTATGCAAACAGTTATAATTTGAGGAGATAAAACAAATTAGATGCAATTGGCTTCCTGTGCAAAGTATAAAAGCTTTCAAGGGTTACTGTTGTACATGCTAAAGAACTACTAACAGACAGAGAAGGAAGCCATGCTTACCTAGGTGTTTTTAAAATAGGAGAAACACAAATAGAATGAATCTCATCTACAAATGTAATCATCAGATCATTAGTTTAATGAAGTTAGAAGAACTCATCCCTTGTAAACAGATTAATCAAAAAATTTAGCTTAGGAGAAAGTTCAGAATAGTTCACTCAAAAAAACAAGATTTCAGTTTTTATATAATAGCTTTATTATCAAATGGTACGAGACATTTAGTAATGATGCTGTGCAGCTATTACTTACAAACAATTCTAAAAGATCAACAGGTCACCTAACACCTTAAAAGTTCCTTGCAATTAAAAAAAGCTACATGTTCCTGATTTCCCCACTTGCTTCAAGGTAGACACTGTTTCATGTCAAAACGTTACGGCTATCTCTTGGATCACTTGCCAGATTCCCATAAAGGAAAGGACGGGCTAGTACAATATTCCACAGCAGAGCTCTACCCTACATCTTTTTGCCTTTTGCACAAGGCCTTCCTTATTCTTCAGAACCCTCATAGGTAAACCTCATGTAATAAGAAACTGCCTAAGACAGCTGGCAGTCAAAGATAAAAAACAGAAGAGATGATTAAAAAAAAAAAGTAGTATTTCTTTTGCAAAAGAAAAGAACCTTACTCATGACATTAAAAGCCATCATGTTGGGAAGCTAGTCTAACTATGGCTGAAACAGAACTTTTTTTGCAACTTAGCCTGATCCCATCCACACAGTGAAATATAATTAAGGGAAAATCTGAAGCGATAGTATGATTCATGTGAAACTAAAGTGTAATTCAGTTCCTTCTTTAATGCCAAGGTTGCACCAAAACATCAGTTTTACACAGCGTAGAAGGAATTTTACAACGGCGTCTTTTAATTGAATGAAAATCAAATGAGAATTGTTGAGGAAAGCCACTGAACTACAATTGTAAGAGTGCAATTTATTCTGAGAGTTCATCTGCATGAAACTAACTATGCAGGGAAGTAGGCTGTAAATAAATCTACAGCTACCTCGCACTCAATAATCCAGTGGATGCTTAGCTCTCAACAGCTAAATTCATACCCTAGTTTGCTATGGAGTAAATTCCCTAGGTAGATGAGCTCTGAGATTAGAATTACAGCAATAAGAAGTCATCACTTCAGTTTTAAATGCCAATAAAGTACAGGTTTAAAGTCAATTCTAAATAAGAAACCAATTCCTGAAGCTAAATGTTCTTACAATGAATTTGTAAACAGAGGTAAATTATGAGTTCTTTTATCTACCAACATAAAAATACCATTCAATGTGCAGTCCAGATTTAAATAAAAGACAAAAATAGCATATCAGTAATATTTACTATATATTTACATGTAATACTGTGATAAAAAAGAAATCAACATTATGTTACAAAATTCTTTAAGGTACCAGTACCTTTCACATTATCACATTTATGGAACTGTTCTCTTTACATCTAAAATGATCCATCATATGATGAGTTAACATAAGGATATAGGCAAGTAAACGCTTGAATTGGAGCATATGCTAATGTGTCAACTCCCATTTCTGCAAGATACTTCAGGGGCACATAAACCTAAAAGGTATAAGCAGCATTGGTTTCAGTAGGATAAACTTAAACGTGCACCCAAGTTCTTTGCGGATCAGGACCTTACTTTATGGGATGCCACTGACAATACAACAGACTGCAACAGTTATAACCATATAAAGGGAGAGGTATCATATACCTTATTTAGTGAATATATATAATATATATACTTTTTTACTTAAAAGTGAATCATAGCCAGTTGCCCATGACCAGTTACTGACTTATCAGAAAAGGGAATCATCTTTTTATTTTACATACACCAACATACTAGGTTTTTGTTACATGATTCATTGAACAGTATATGGAATTAGTTCTTTAAATAAGAACTGTACCAATCTTTGTACAAGATATTTCTTCTAACCAACTGAGCTGCAATGGAAGATTTTTATACACTTCACATATTGTTTGAGAAATGGTAATAAACTTCTTTAAGTTATATATGTTTAAATTAGTTGAGAACTGAAGATTTTTTATAGTAATTTAACTCTCTTAAATTGGCAGAAAAAACTATCTATGCAAGTGAAACATTGGAAAAATAAATCAACATTAAAAAAATTAAGATTAGAACTTAAAACTTCATCAGCCAGCCAGGATCAAATTCTAACCTGCTCCCTCCCTTCCTATATCCTCTCCTAGAATAAAAATTTATGGAGGATGAGGGGGAATGATTTGACACTTCTTTCTCTTTGTTAATCCAGTTAGTAAAGTAGATGTAGGTTCAAGTATTTAAATCCACACAGCACTAATAAATAGAAATAAGTAAACAATCAGGATGGTGAGTGTATCACTGAAGTTAAAGTATTGCCCAGAGAAAAAAAATCTTTGTTTCTCAGTGAGCTTTGTTAATATATTGTGCTATTTTTCTGGAACTCCAAAAGGCAAAACAAAGAGAAATATTGTTGATGAGAAGTGTACTCAAACCCGGTCACATGCATGTCTACAGAGACACGTAGAGTGTTACAGAACCAGACTGAATAGTTGAGGTTTTTTTTTGCAAGTTTCATAAAGCAGTATCTGCAGTTTACATCTACATTACCATTTTTGCTCTGCAAACTATTAGAGCACAATGTGTGTTTACTTCCCTCACCCTCCGCCTCCCCCCACAAAGTAAAACACTGATGGTTCAGTTACAAAACTACATGTAGTACATTTTTGAACACTGTTTCTTCAATTTTAGGCCATGTGTTCATTTAAAGACATTCTTATCCGTTACAAGCCTCCCCTTTAATTGCTGAAGATCCAATAGAAAAGCAAACATACAAATAACAGAAGTGCTGATCCTGAGATGAAGTATGGGAAATTCTGATCCAGTCTGATCCTTATTCAAACTTCTGTTTCAGTTTCTTCTGGAAGACAGCTGGTAGGATGGAGAGGATGGCTAAAATCATGAGAACAAACACAGAGTTCCAGGAAACAGCTTCCCCTGCTGTTGTAAGTTGGTATAGTGTTGTTCCTGCCTTAATTGCTACAAAAGATGGTGGTGCCACACCTGGAAGGGAAAATTAGAAGGGTAGGATAGTGAGGGAAGAAAACAAAACAGCTTGTTCGGGAAGACAAACGTGGAAAAAAAATCATAAATTAGTCATCTAACTTTAACATCAAAATATATTTCTGCTACCTTCTACTTTAAGAGGACTATAAATAGAAAATTTGAAAACAGTTCTTATGATTTGGGGTTCTTGTTTTTCTGCTGTTGCTAATGCTTTTTTAATGTAAGCTCAAACACACAACACCAGGAAAAAAAAAATCCCTGCTATCTAGACTGTAGATTTCACACTCTCTCTCTAGAAACTAATCTTATTTTGGTTCATAAAGAAAAATATAGATGGTTTCCTAACCAGGTTAAAAAGTATTTTTAAAAATGCCAAATACAACACTAAAATATTTAACACTGCAGTAATTAAATTACAAATTCACTCCCAGGAAGATATGATAAACAAGATGGAGAGGGAAGAGGAGAAACAGTCCTTCAGAAGAAAGGCACATACATCCTCACACAATCAAGCTGAACTCAAAGTAGGAATTTCTCATCTGATTACTATACTTTCATGAAAGTTTTGTATTAATCATGGACTGGAACAAAGGAAGTTACTAATGTGTTCACAGAAGGTATGTTTCCCCAAACAAGCAAATTAACTTCATCTCATTACCCCCAATCCAGTACATCAGAACATTCCTGAAGACTGAAACCTTTTGACTCTCTAAATTCTGCATACCAAGAAGAATGAAATAATGCATTTGTGTAATCTTTCAGTTATCCAGTAGATGGTGATCTCTTCTGAACAACGCATGAAGAGAAAAGCAATAATATCCCTTCTGGCTGCCACAACAGTTGAGTTCATTGATCAGAATTCTTACCTAGAAAAGTGCCAATGAAAAATACTTTCAATGGTACATTTATTACAGGAGATGTTATATTGATGAACCAATTAGGAAGAAAAGGCGTTATTCTCAGAAATATTATGTAGTTAATGAGGTGTTCTCTGTGTCTTTCAACCTGCCAAAAAGAAGAAAAAAAGAAAAAAGTAAAATCCCTACCTTGAAAATACATAATGATTTCACTACTAGATGCAGTACATCTTTTTGTGCATCTTTTGTAGAAATTTACAAGTTGTAAACATTAAAAAAAAAATCAGTTAAGCAGTGACTGACTCAAGCAAAGAGTAATCAGAGAATCATCTGCTAAATATGACTAAAGTTAGTCTGGAAATACCAGTCTGCAGTAGACTATGCTGACAATGTGTGTGATTCAGCTAACTTAGGTAATTCTGCACAACATCAGGTCCAACCCTAACTCATCAACCTCTGCCTGTCCTCCACCTAACTGTTACCCAATCAACACTGCCAGCTTGCCCTACTACAAAAGCTTTTGCAGGAACTAGCAATGAAGTTGTTCCTCAACCTCTTCTGTCCTAAACTATAATCGCACTTGAAACACAGCTGTATTCCTAGCTCAGAAACTCACAGCTCTGAAGGTAGTCAGGTAGCTACCGCCAGCACAGTCTACCTAACTACCTGCACGTTTTGTAACACCTAGCATTTATATTACCCAGGAGCAAACATAATAGCCCAAACTGTATTTGCATTCTTAATTATATTCTTAATTCCAGCCCAGCTCCTTACACCAGTAGTACATCAAAGCCTCTTCTCACCACAGCCTGGCTTTAGCACATCAGCCCTTTCAAACAAGAACTGTAACCCCAAACCAAGTTTTAGTGGTAGCAAAGCATGCCATCATGTCTGACCGACCCTGGTTGCCCTTCTCCAAGGCTAAGCCTAAACCTGGTCATGCAGCCCCAGACAGTCCAAACCATACCAGGTCTGATTGCAATTCCAGCTGAAATCTAGTCCAGCAACTCACCCCAGTCCCAGCCCTCTGTTTTTCCCAACTTTAGCACTAACTGCCACTAGAACTAAGCCAGTAGCACTGCTAGAGTTTAGTTAGTTTTAATCATACTTTCTATCCTAATTAAGTTCTGAAATTTCAACTTTGCTTGGTCTTGCATATAAGATTAGTTTAAGTGTGATATAGTCTACTTTACCCAGAAACACAGTGCAATCTGAGCTGTACATGTTATGTACATATGTATTTATCACATATCCAGTTCTACTAGTGGAAGTAGGAAGCACCTGCCACTTGGAGATTAACTTCAGGATTATACTGTGATATTAATATTTATTTGGGTCAAGATCCAAGATACTATTTTATTACTTAATAAAGGCAGGACAACTCTTACACTCCATTGTGGAAGCTACTAAACCAGTAGTCTGTAATTAGATCCTCACCTACTTAACAGTGTTGAATTAACAATATAAAAAGGCTGAACACTATAGCTAAACTGACTATAACAACTTAATCTATTCCATTAATCAGACACATCCTACTCAGCCAATGAGGAACACATTTAAAATATTCATCTGATTTAAAAATCTTGACCAGAGTGCAAAACATTAACTTGTGGTTCACACTTGCCAAAGAATTTGTTTGAACCTATTTAAGAGTGTCAAACTAGGAAACACACGTCAAATACTAAGCACACTATGAATTTGTATAGGAAAATCTTTGCCAACGCTTGCTGACAGTAACGTTATCAGATATTGTCCTTAGCCCTAACAAGGAAATAAAAATTAGGGGATCAAGCAGCTGGTGCAGAACTACCAGTCTACAACCAGGGAAGAAAAAAAAAAAAAAGGCCAACTGCAAAAAGTTAAAGATAATTAAGTCCCTGTAAATTTCATGTAAGCAGACAGTAAGAAAGAGAAGAGAGACCCCCTCAGTAACCCAAGGCAGGGCGGGCAGGGGGATATCCTTTTTGTATGAATTGCTATGCTACTGCTATGAAACATCAGATAATCCACATCAAGTTAATAAATACCCCAACTTGACCTGTTTATTTACATTTACATTGCAACTGGAGATGTTTACTCTTGTCATCTCAACCTGGTGGGATAAATAAATATATAAATAAAAATAAATAATAAATATATGCATGCATCAGTTGCAAACTTCTAGATGAAAAGAGCTTCCCAACAGGAAATCACTTAACATGTTACTTACCTGTAAGCAACTTCAGATAAAGCAGTTAATATTTGTTTTCCATCCCTAGCCCAGCTTGACCAATTCACTTTATATCAAATTTATTATCTCATTCACACTACAGAATACTATTATAAACTCAGAAATATTCCCCACTGTTTAAGAACATTCAGAGAAAGTAACTATACAGTGTCAGAAAGAAGACAAATCTTCACTTTGTAATTATATTTATGAGCATGATATCTCCTAGTTTTCCATCTTAGTCCCCTAGACATTTTCTATTATGAATTTGAGTATCTATAGAAACTCTACCTGGTCTGACCATTTCACCGCCTTTTCTGTTAGATATCTGTATACAACAGGCCGTCCCACTAGGTATGAAAGCATATAGCAGAACGAAGCTCCAAGTCCTGAGCACTGCAAAAGAATGAACAAATGAACAGAAGCTCTTATTAATACCAGTATTATATCCCTGTAGTTACACTAGCCAGATACAGCCTGCTTCTATGCAACCCTCCATTTAGGCTGAAGATTTCTGCATCAGCAGTATGTACCATTTTCTAAGAATGCTGTTGATATAAAACAGTTTCTTTATTCCCACGGTGTTTAGATCAATCTTGATGTTCAAAATAGACCATGTTTATTACTTATCAATTAAGTGTTTCTGTAATTGTATTTCAAGTTCCTAAACAGTGAAAACTTTGCAAATAAGGGGCAGAATGGCATTCAGAAGAGATTCAAATCTGAAAATTCATCACCTTGGTCCCCCATACTGATTCAGTCATCTAGCTGTTTAGTACTAAGGCTCGTTATGACTGCATCTTTTCGACAGGACGTTTTTTGGAATTTGTCAATAACATACATTTCCTAACTTAATTTAAGTTTCTTGGTTATTTAAGCGATTTGAAAAGTGATGCATCTTGCACATTAATAAAAATGTAATGTTCTGAAATTACAACCAGGTTCTGGCAGATGCTAGACAAATCTACAGTGAAGACAACTCTGGCTGATTAGCACCCATCTGCCTCCATTATTAAGAAAACCTGGAGAAACTTTTAGCAATTTGAATCACCACCAATGTTATGGTGGATTTTGTAGGTAACACCATTCTCATAACAGAGCTGAACTGGAAGTCATTCATTCATTCCTCAGCGACTAAAGCACATTCGGCTATTTCACTTGGTCTCTGATCACTTCAGAAAAGAGGCTATTTGGATGCTTGGTTGTATTCCAAATGGACAGAAATATATGCCCTCTCAAATCATTTTCCATACTTACCAGGCAAACAAGAAATAAGGCCAGTGGAAAGGGATAAAGAAACCCTGAGAGGATACTGAGAAATATAGACCCAGGGATAGCAAATGTTTGCAAGCTGCATATGTCTTAGTTAAGGGAAAAATAAAATTTTTAAAAAGCTACTCAATTTTATAAACAATGCTGCCATATATTATGATTGGGAAAACCACAAATATAAGTACATACAGACTCAGAAGAGCCTTACTTCAAAATATCTTTGCAGAGTAGCACAGGATACACTGCTGTATCTCAAACAAGAGTGAAATCTGAATATGGTTCTTCTTTCTTCTCTCTTTTGAATCACAAGGGGTAGATATTCCAGTGACAGATACAAAAATAAGTCGTCAAATAACAGAAGCTGTACTACATTTTCCCCTTTATCTCTGTGCTACAATTGACACTGGAGATTTACCGTGACATTACAGGAAATATGTAGTTCTGATTTTATGTTACAGACTAGACGCACAGATTTCAGTCATTCTCTCTGAAAGGTCCAGAGAACTCCCTTCAGAGTCCATAACCGCTATGAATTTCATGGGAAGACTGACATTATAAGGAAGTAGTAGTTTCCTTGATAACACACAAGTATAATAAAACAGAAGTATATGAGGTTACAACTCTTCTCTGTAAGTCAGCACTAAATTTACTCAGTTTACAAACAGGCACGGTGCGACCACCAGGTAACTAGCTTACATGATTGCTAATTTCAGTCAGAATGTTTTTCTTGGAACACTGATCCTAACAGACTCCTGCTCACTCTTAGACCGAGGCTACAGTTACACGCTGCCAAAATACAGCCAAGTACACCCTAGAGACAGATTAGGACATTACTGTTTCACTGTAGGCTGCTGCGTAGTATTTAAGTGTATTTTGTGAAGAGGCAGAGATCCCGCAGTACGCGAGAACAGACTGCTGAGCTTAAGATTTGCTCAGCACAGCTGGAACTACAGTACAAGTTCATTTCCTAAATGAAAATCTCGTAAAGCGAAGAAATTTATAAGCACTATTCTGACTGAGCTGAACTGATTGAAATATCAAAGAGCCAAAGACTTCCTTTACATCAAGTCTATTACTAACAGTACAGCTTATTCCAAGCAAGTGTCAAGGTTTTCAGATAATTATAACGTGCTTGTGCACTGATCAGTCTGCTCCTAACGCCAAACGTTGTTGCATCACCTGTTTTGTAGCTTATTAAGCAGTCAATTGTGTTCTATTTTTATTTATATATAAGCATTAACATTTTAGTTTTCTTCATATATCATCTATTTTCTGTGAACTACTCTCAAAAAGAATGAGCTCCAAGTTAATTATCGAGGGTAGCGCATTTGGTGCTGATTTTTCAATAACTTACAGAAAGCCTCCTGCATTAAACTGTGAAGCAGACCTCCTATAAAGCTCTTCAACCTTTTAAAAGTTATTAACCTTTAGTTAAGTGTTCCAGTGAGGAGTGTGTGTTTAATGATTAATTAATATATTCAACACTCAGAAAAAAAGTGAGCAAGAACACAGGCAGCCTTTGTCTCTCCTCAGGCAGAGAGTATCTAAGAAATTTACCTCTCTTAAAAAAAAAAAGAAAGTTTGTTTTTTGAAGAAGCATTTTAAAATGCTTTCCTTGAGAAATGCTGGGAAATTTTCTGTAAAGGACTCTCATATTGGGCACTTTTGAATGTCCCAGTGGTAGAGAAGCAGTAGTTTCAGTTATCTTTTAGAATTAACAATAATCTCTAACTGGCAATTCAGGTTATAACTTTAAAAGGTAGTGTAACATTAAAATAAGACAAAGTCTAGTATCAAAGTTAAAATATTTTCCAGGATAAGAACTGTCAATATGAAACCGCAAGGAAACCCTTCAGTAGTATTTACTACTGTACGTGCATCTAACTCAATTTCCTTCTACTGTGGTCCATCCTTACAGTCCAAAAAGTATACTGTGACACAGAAGAAATATTTTTAAGCTCAAAGTCTGGGAATATCTGTATCGTATAAACATACCTAGGTAGTCAGTTTCCCTCATCCTTGATCAAGGATTTAAAGTAACCTTCTATTTTTCCTTTAGCTCTTTCAGAGAATATTGAATACATCAAAAAAAGATTTGCCTATCAGAAAAAGGATACAAAACATATGTTGCAAAATAAGCCACTAGTACTTGAACATAAAAGGTGTCCTTGTATTTGGACAGGACTTTTCCCAAGGCCTTTGCATCATCCATGTCTCTAGGAATCTTTATACATTCTCTTTCTTCTCTGGAAGACAAAGAAACAAACAAAAAGAATGAGGGAAAGGTAAACAAACAGTATAGTAAAATTACTTGCTGAATATATAGATAGCAATATATACTCCATCACTGAACTATAATCTCAGCAAACAAACCAAATTATTGCTGCTGTGATAATATTCTCAGATAAAGTCTTTCAATACCTACAGTTTTTGGGATTATAAAATTCCTGATTGTAGATGCTTGCAAACCATCTTTTTTCCTATTCATTAAATAATCTGCTTTATTTCTAAGTTTTCTTTTCTTACCAAAAAGAAATTGATCAAAATGAAATAATTACTCAAACCTAAGTTTGGCAACTGAGCAGTGGTCAACAGTTCAGCCAAAAACAAGTATGATTGCCTCAATGATAAGGCTGTAACAGTTAAAGCACAGGAACGCAGGCAGAGCTTTGCCTAGCAAACAAATAAAGCTTTAAGAGTGAAATTCCACATCACACCTTTCCCTAGTGCTACTCCAGGCTGCACAGTTCAGTGTTCCCTCCTCCTATTAGATCTAGTGATTGAACTGTCACAAACTGAACTTGTTGAGCAAGTTAATCAGACAGAAAATTAACTACTAAAAGAAAAACAAAATTGTCAGACAAGCAAGTTTTCATCTTGTCAGACTATCTACCCTCCTGACACGTCAGCACTAAATGCAAGAAAAGGGAGAAAAATAGAACAATGAAGCTTAAGCATGAAGGAAGAAGCGTGTACCCTTTTGGTGGCAGCCTGCAGTTACACCTGAGTAAGAGGAATTTTAAAATAAATCTACCCCTGGCCTAGCATTTTCTGCCTCTCAGCAGAGGAAGGCCAAGAACCAACATTGCCAGTTACCATTTCTAATATGACAAGAGGTAACTTTAAAAAAAAAATCTCAGCTGTACAACAGGAACACTAGTTAAAACAAACTTCTGTGTTTAAATAGATCGTATTGGTTAGTGTGTATTTCTATATGAAGTTTTGCATTCTGACATTCTAGATTGGATAAATGTCCACCCCCCCCCCCCCCAAAAAAAAAAGATAGACAGAGAGATTGATTCAAGTTACATCTATAATCTATATAACTCGTTTCAGTTTAGGATAACCTAATGACATGTAGGTTCCTCTATAATTTGATGTTGAAAGAAAAGCAAATACGTTAATCTTTCCTGACATACTTACTCGCTAAGCTGTGGGAAATTTTTATATACCAGAAACATAAGGAAAGCAGCTGATAAGAAGATGGACACTAAGATAAGAAGAGACATTCCAGCTGATCCACCTTCTGCATGGGCTTTCCCTGAAATTAAACAAAACGAAAGTTAAGAAAGAACTTACAACAGTACTCAAAGTTATGCTTTGAGGAAATAAGGCAGGTTCCCTGTGGACGTAATCTTCCACCAAAAGTTTCAATAACATGCACAATATACTGCCCACGTTCCCTGCAATCTTTCAAACAAATTTGATTTCTTACACAGGCAAACATCTCACAAAAGTCAACTTCTTTGATCCCTAAGTAGTTTAGTGCTCAGTTCACTTTGTAAAAGGAAAAGACAGTCTGAACAGCAAACTGTACATATTTTTTGTTTTGGAGAGAAATCACCTGCCAGTTCAGTTAATTCAATAAGGTCAGCGAAAGCACGTGAAGTTAAGATTTCAGTGTGTACAACGCAACTTTGAAACATGCTCATTAAAAGATTGTTTCCTAATAACGAACACTAGCCACAACTAGGTAGGAGACACTCATCAGGAGAAAACACACACACAAAATAGCAGCTTGGAATATAGAGGCTCCACTTTGTCAGACTTGGAAATCACACAAATGTTATGTACACGTACACGTATACAAAACCCACGCATACCTAAACTAAGTCTTTTTAAATATTTAACCGTTTTCAAAAGCTTGTGTAGAAGAAGTTACAAGAGCACCATACATAACCACAATTACATTTTAGGTCTCTTCTTTGCTGAGAATTTTAGCCATATAACCGTATGTGTAATTTACTGATTAGCACAGATACAGCTTAACGCGTTCTCTGCATCCACACTAGGGTGTGCATGTGCACACGTATTAAGGCACTCCCTCCCTGCAGACACTGCTAAGGTAGCACAACTTCTGAGTGAGAATCGGTCACCTGAGCAAGACAAGAAGCCAAAGCAGCATTTCCATTTGCGGACCCTGGCGGCACGACTACAACGCTCAGGCGGAGCGTTCAAGCTGTGGCACTGCCATCTCGCTGCTGCGAAACGCAGCGAAAGGGTGACGAAACACCCGCATAAAACAGAGCTTGACGGACTAGTTTACAATTCTACTCGCTTTCAGGTTTTCGCCTTGAAAGGAGTGCAACTACCCCGCCTATTTTCGTACTACAAGCACAAACACTTCACCGCCGGGTATTCCAATACCATCTGCTCCAGAGCAAAAAACCCTAGGGGATGAGAAAGCGGAACAGAGCGAAGTGCGTTTTCCGCCGCTTTCGCCTTCAGCGCTGCGGCAGCGCCGGCGGGGAGACGCTCCCCGGACACGCGCGTACTCGC